ACACACGCCTCTATGTCAAACAAGTAATCGTGGGACCATGGGCTAAAAGAGCGGACGGACGATCGGACGCAACCACGCAGTCTATCCGTGATGCCAACGGCGAGACCCAATTTAACCATGATCTATGTAAGCGTGGATCGGCCGGTTTATAGTACGAGGACAGATCAGTGGAATGTAACTGACGTTACAGGCCGGTTAATGAGAACAAGCCAATGAACTCATATCGAATTACTGCGTGTAGTCTAGAAATGTCCATGAGTATTCCTAATAATGATTTGTGCTCGCTGTCCAAACTTTCTTCTTAATTCCCGGAGGGCAATACAAACGCCATTGAGGTTAGCTGCTGGCCATAAAAAACAGGTATATCCAGCTAGACGTGTTCATCGACCCTCAGACCTCAGCCCGGCGGTCTGGAGACGCTAGCCGACGCCAACTTCGATGTGGGGGCCTCATTCCTCTTGACCAATTCATTACTTTGCCTCTCCACCTTTTTCATCTAAACCACGCCACGCAAACCTCGCACGACGTGGGCATCGGTGTGCTGGCATGCGTGACATGTGGCCCAGCCATCGGAATCTTTCGCGTGAAATAACGGTGCTGAGCGGTTCGCTCGCGCTTCCTGAAGCAAATACACGACGCCGAACACTATTGCTCACGCGGTATTCCCACCAGACATGAGCTAAGCTGCGAAGGTTGTGGTGGTCGAACGTAGCTATCCTCTCTATGTCTTCCAACTTGATGGCCCATGTTTCGCAACCGTCCAGGAGAGTTGAACGGACGGCTACATTGTAAATTCTGCTCTTCTGGTCGAGAGTAATGTCACGGCGGCGCGTCAGGTGGCGGAGATTGGAAAAAGCGCGTCGAGCCTTTGCTATACGGTCGGTGTTCGTTGGATGTTATGGCCCGCAACAAATCAGTGGTGCCTGTGCTATTTCTCTGTATCATCTGTTAGTTCACCTCTAATCAAACACACACTAAAATGTCAAAACAAAAACTCAAAATGGCGTGTGTTATCATATTCCGCTTTTTTATTCTGCTTTCCTGTTATAGTTCTGTTAGCATATTATGTGTAATCAGACTTTTGTAAACAACCTTTTATGGTGATCGTTCTTGATTTGAAATCTGCCCTTGGTTTCCTGTGGTTTTCTGTGGTTGTCTGAGATAGGTCTATCTCTGATGTACATGTCTTGAGCTTATTCTTTGTTCTACGGTCCCTGTACTCTGACTTCAGTGACTGTGTAAGCGTAAAGGATATCTCTCCCAACAATGAGTGTAGGGCATATGTGCTATCCTAGTTATCCATCTCGTCGACTGTGGTCGATACGACTATAATTATCTTATTCTTATTCTCGCCTTTCTATGGCCCAATGTTCCACTGGGCAGCCGACTACCAAACAGTGTATGCGACGATATAGCTCTCCTAGGATCGCAATTTTGGGAAGAATACTCTTTTCAATAAATTTCTTCGAGCATTTACAATTATAAAACTCAATGTTAGAGCACAATCAGCCGAGGAAGCAAAAACGGGTTAGTGGGATCACACAATCCAGAAACTCAGACGTCTTGATCGATAAAGTCCTCTAGGCGAAATGCCAAGCGCATCACTCGATCACAACACACGAAAATGTTGGCAGGCTAATTACAGTCAAGATAAAGAGAAATCCTTGCAATAAGGTCTTTTGTTTACATAGTTCCAGTTGCGTTGTCCTAATTGCGATTGCTTCGGCCGTCCGTAAGATTTGTTTATTATAAGGCATTTGGGGTATCGTTTCCGCACGACATAAAGTGCTTTGACGGGATCAGCTTTCCTTATTTGAGGTCCGCTTTCGACCAAATGTTTCAGCATGGAACTGTTGTTGCGATTGACGATGCCTTTCCACAAAGCCATTGGGCATTGCTCCCTTGTGAGTTTAGACAGACGCCTGGTTGCGTGTACAACGTACCCCACACCACGGGTGCAGGTAAACTGATATAGAATATAGGATTGGGACTGAACCGGAAGTCTATCTTTGAGATGTTGGATCGTAAAGGGAGCGATTTTTGCAATGACTTGTGGGTAGGCTGCCGTGAAGGTGCGAGCCACTACAGTGGAAGTTTTTTGCTCAGCAGATAGTCGGGAATATCGCCTTTTAGGGAACTAATCGGATCACCTCTTCCTGAGGAACGGTTTTAATCACTTCACGGCTATCGCATATCACTTTACACTTTTTGATGAACGGCGCTGGGTAACCATTTTCTTGCAGCGTCTTGAGAATACGGATCCTTTCGGACCCCAACGTCTCTTGGCTGCAGATTTTCGTAGCACGAAAATACAAGCAGCGAACAAGATTACGTTTGTACCTCAAGGGTACAAAGCTTAGAAAATGCGTATATTGGCCTATCCGTGTGGGCTTCTGGAACACACTTCTTGCTAATGATCCATCAATTTCCCGACTCAGCAACACATCCAAGAAGGTTAGGTTACCATATTTTTCACTTTCGATGGTGAATGATGGGTGAACGCTATTTAACTGACTTTACAGGTTGGAACCATCGGTGTTTGTATCGAAGATTATAAACGTATCATCCTCTTGCCGACAATAAAAATCAAATGAAACGATGATCTGTCGAATGCGGCTGCTGTGTAACTGCCCCTGTATAGGCTGACGCGTATTGCTTCACAGTTTGGATTTGCTTTTGTAGCTTCGGATCGCAAGGTGCTGTCTTAGAACTCGTACGAGTTTTCACTACCAAGTACCAACCGCCGGAGTTGATCGATCGATGTTTTTATCTTGGTAGCTCTACTAACTTGATCGAACCACCAAAGAGATTGCTGGACTCTTGGTTGGAGCTGTTATGAATCGCTAAGTTGTAGGGATGGTACGATATGTGTGTTGGTTCAGGGATTCAGGGAGGAACTTGCGACGCTGCAGTATGGCCAACTGAAATGAAACTGAATTTGTCTTCAATTAAATGACAATGGCGCGCCATTTTGTGTAATTACCGACAATAGGTATGCGACCCTTGCTTTTCGTTCCCGGCTGCTTGGTTTGGGTGAATCCTTCTCTGAGCTAGGAGCCCGAACACATCACTTAGAGCTGATTCCCATACCTGAGCTACGCATATTTCTCAAAAGCACAGATACATCTCGCTAACTTTGGAACTTCTATCTCCGACCGAAGCTGATTCGTCAAGATCAAGGTCGTTATCTTGTGCAACGTTAATTCGCTCACCTTTATGATTTTGTGGGGTGCGACCTACCGCAACAAGAAAACCAGGCCAACCCAAGCGTCATACATACCCGATTGAGCTGGATCCGGAGCGATATCCACTGCTTCCCCAACATATAGCTCACTCTTTGTCTAAACATTTTATAGTGCATGATGTACATCGGCCAAGTTCCCTACCACCCTTCATAATTTCGTGCCTAAAATGTACGTATGAGTTTCGGAACTTTTCGGGATACCTTCTGGACTCTGTGGCGGTAAACCATCATTACTACAGCAGCTTCATTTTTGCAGCCGCCTACCGATTCGTTTTAATCACACATACATGCTGCGTATTTATTGGCATGTAACAAGTATTCCAACAGTATTGTACCGCAATTTACAACAATCGTAACGGCAGAGTAGTCAATTACGTATTATCTCTCTCAACCAATTTATCAATGCCATTTCACCAGAAATCGCCAAGCTTGAACTAGAAGAAATTATTAAGCCTTTCTCAAGTTGCTCATCGTTATCGAAGGTTACGCTCCTTATCTGAATGAATGGTGAGCGGAAAAAATGATACTCCTTCTGCGCAACTTCCGGAAAATAAGGTGGATGTGAAAGTAGCTCGTCATTACGCTATTACAAGGTCACTTTGACTATGTTTACAACATGGTACCTAACATTGTCTTGGAACAGAGTGACGACCTTGTCCATCGTATCTTTTCTGTTGGATAGTCTCATCCATACATTGTATTTGGTCGATAGAGAATCGACTGTTTTATTCTTCTCAAATCTTTTTCAGTGCACAATACCCCTCTCTATCCCACTAAACGCAGATTTTACTCTTTTTTGTGATGGTGGTTTTGTTTTACTCTCAGCTTTAACATGTCTTCTGGAGTCACCCACTCCTTCCTTTGATTCACGTTTGCATAATGACCATTTCTCATCTCCCGTGACAATTCCATATAATGGTCGTTTCCGGTTACTGCATATTTCTTCATGCCGCATGAAGTGTTCAGAAGCAGTTTGAAGGCGGTTTTGTTTTTTTGTTTCCAATAATCCCAACGTAACAAGCAATAAAACAAGTAACGAAAATGGGTTTCTGGCCGCCTGTTATTTCCATCTCAAATAACTAAAAGTAAAAATCTAATCATTCTACTATTCGTGGCAACAAGTTTGTAGGGTGAAGACCGCTCTTTCGTATGACTAAATCCACTTTACCAAAATTCATAAATAAAAAGTAAAAATAAACAACTACATTTTGCAACCCAAAATGTTAGCTCGCTTAGTTCTATCGCAATCTGTTATATGAATGAAGTGGGTGATTATATCGATACTCGATGGTATCGGGAATCCTCTCAGTCTATTTCGGTAAGAATTTTCACCTTCGACTTGTGTGTTGCTTTTTGTTCTGCCAGTTATTCTTCTGAATCAATTTCGGGGTGCACTGGGGTTGTGATCCTCAGAAATATTTCGTACAACGATACCTGTTTTGGATTGGTGGCACTTTTGTTTTGGACTTATCATCCCCCATGATGATGTATCACTTTTTATTTTTGCACTTTGTTTATACTGATAATACTCTTGCTCTTCCTCGGGTAATTTTAGAGACGGTCTTATTCCTATTTCTTCGTTCATTCTTTAACCGATGTTCTCTTCTAACCTACTTTAGCCCGATGAACATCTATTAGTTGAGACACTTGGCTACTTGTTGCTCATCAATACTATTACTAAAAAACGAGATGCACATGTTTCGTCATACATTTCTATATCGTCGTAACGGATACTTCTTTCTCTTGTTGAATGTAGGTCGGACACTCCGCTGATATACAAAGCTGTGCCTACTTGGTTCCTTCGCGTGGAATGTCTGGTTGATCGCTTGTTGAAAAATAACTCCGAGTGTCGTTGGTCAGTGCACACTGTTTCTATATTCGCCATATTTGTGTTGCTAAATATCGTCTTCTATCATCAACATCATAACTTCTACTCATTTGTCTAATCATAACCTTTGTTTATCCAACTTCTCACACTCAGGGTACCAGATTTCGTTCGTGAAGGGCGGTTCGCAAACTGGTTACGTGATGCCAGAGATTGGGCGATATCTCGAAATCGTTTTTGGGGAACACCTTTACCCCTGTGGGTGAGTGATGATTACGAGGAGATCGTCTGCGTCGGATCTATTCAAGAGTTAGCCAATTTGTCCAATGTGAAGATCACTGACCTTCATCGAGAATGGTGAGCTGGTTTGTCTTCTTTAACATTAATTTCCCCGTCACCACTTTATATTGGGTGTTTCCCTATGATTTTGATAAATTCCGTTTACCTCCAGCACACTTTTCTTTCTTCAGCATAGACGAACTCACTATTCCGTCACGTACCGGTCGAGGTATACTCAGACGCGTGCCCGAAGTGTTCGACTGTTGGTTTGAATCTGGATCAATGCCTTACGCCCAGGTAAATTTGGCTATGCTTCCATAAATCCGTGTGCTATTAGTTTATAACCACGTAATTGAGTCAACTTTCACCGCGCTAAGGAGTGGCAAAATAGCTAGGGCTTTCTATAGTAGCACTGCAGCGAAACACTGCAGTTCTTACTGTACTGGAGGATAATTTTTACCGGGAAATTGTAAACCCTACTCTGCTAAATTGACAGCTTCTTGGCATCTTTCGTTCCCTATTTCCGCAGCCTACACTAAACCATTTTTTCCGCCCTAGTTGTAGCCGTCTGTCCATTCTGTGCTTTGGCGTTTTGAGGCTGTGGAGATAAGCCTCTGCGGTCCAGTTAGTTAATTCACGCCGATTAAATATAACTTGTAGAGTTAATCATTACCCCTTATCAGTTAATACCGTTTCTGGTTGTAACAACTTCCTAACACCGGTTGTTCATCGGTATACCGAGTCGCATTACGTTTGCTGCCATTGTTGCTTAAATCTGCTTGCACCATATTTACACCCTATTTCCTTGTAGCACACAACCGTTCATTAAGTAGGCTTAACATCTCTCGCTTGGCTAATGAGTGCGAGTCATTTTCATCTTATCGGTTGTCTCCTTCTCCCCTGTTCATGTCCTTTGAAGCGCAAGCACATTTTCCATACTTAACCGCAACCGACATGTAGTGAAACAGTCTTTAATAGCCTCTGAATAACCGTCGCTGCCATCCACCTGCGGCTTCACCTTATTCTTTAGATTTTCCTCTCTATGGGGAATGCGTGTATGATACAGCTAGGATACGCTGTGCTCCCTCTATTGGAACGAATGTTTTGTGTCAGTTCATATCCAGCGAGCTTTGCAATTGAATACCACTCTTAACCTCTCCACACGTCACCGCTCTTCGGTTGTTCTACTGAGATCTATGTTAAGAGTGGCGGTTTTCGCCTCTGTATTCTGCGCCGTGTTTGTGCGAGTGCTGCGGCACATTAGCTGAGGTGTTCCCCACCTCTAGCTAACGTGTAAGATGATGATGATGATGATGATGATGATGATGATGATGATGATGATGATGATGATGATGATGATGATGATGATGGATGATGATGATGATGATGATGATGATGATGATGATGATGATGATGATGATGATGATGATGATGATGATGATGATGATGATGATGATGATGATGATGATGATGATGATGATGATGATGATGATGATGATGATGATGATGATGATGATGATGATGATGATGATGATGATGATGATGATGATGATGATGATGATGATGATGATGATGATGATGATGATGATGATGATGATGATGATGATGATGATGATGATGATGATGATGATGATGATGATGATGATGATGATGATGATGATGATGATGATGATGATGATGATGATGATGATGATGATGATGATGATGATGATGATGATGATGATGATGATGATGATGATGATGATGATGATGATGATGATGATGATGATGATGATGATGATGATGATGATGATGATGATGATGATGATGATGATGATGATGATGATGATGATGATGATGATGATGATGATGATGATGATGATGATGATGATGATGATGATGATGATGATGATGATGATGATGATGATGATGATGATGATGATGATGATGATGATGATGATGATGATGGTGATGATGATGATGATGATGATGATGATGATGATGATGATGATGATGATGATGATGATGATGATGATGATGATGATGATGATGATGATGATGATGATGATGATGATGATGATGATGATGATGATGATGATGATGATGATGATGATGATGATGATGATGATGATGATGATGATGATGATGATGATGATGATGATGATGATGATGATGATGATGATGATGATGATGATGATGATGATGATGATGATGATGATGATGATGATGATGATGATGATGATGATGATGATGATGATGATGATGATGATGATGATGATGATGATGATGATGATGATGATGATGATGATGATGATGATGATGATGATGATGATGATGATGATGATGATGATGATGATGATGATGATGATGATGATGATGATGATGATGATGATGATGATGATGATGATGATGATGATGATGATGATGATGATGATGATGATGATGATGATGATGATGATGATGATGATGATGATGATGATGATGATGATGATGATGATGATGATGATGATGATGATGATGATGATGATGGTGATGATGATGGTGATGATGATGGTGATGATGATGATGATGATGATGATGATGATGATGATGATGATGATGATGATGATGATGATGATGATGATGATGATGATGATGATGATGATGATGATGATGATGATGATGATGATGATGATTGATGATGATGATGATGATGATGATGATGATGATGATGATGATGATGATGATGATGATGATGATGATGATGATGATGATGATGATGATGATGATGATGATGATGATGATGAGGTTTGATTATG